AATCATCTTAATCTATTATCGGGAACTCAAGATATGTTCATTTTAGTGAAGATAACATAAGTAGAAAATCATATACATGATTTTATGAATATTACAAATTTTCAAAATATTTTTATTGATTATTTGTAATACAATTTAATATATGATGATACATTATATTTTAGGATTAGATTTATTATTTTATTAGGAATTAAGATAAAGTTAAAATAATTATATTTAGTTTATTAGTATTAGGACACCTTTATTTATTAAGATAAAGGAGGCTCCTTCCAGCAGTGTAAACACTTCAAATTTTCTTTAAATAATAATACAACGTGAAAACATTTTTAGAAGAGTTGATTGTCTTGTTCCTTCGAAGCATCTTTTCCTTTAATTTCTTCCATGTTTTTGAGAGAGAGATATTCACACTCTGATTTGCCTTCTTATTGCGATTAGGAGGGCTGGTTAGAGTCATATTGCTGAGTTTGCCTTTTCATTGCAACTAGGAGGGTTAGGTAAGACATATCCATCTATATTATATCTCCATAAACCATTATCTTCTTTCTCCATCATCACGCCATCACCGTACAAAAACCCTAGGGTTTACGTTAATTACCATTCCTACTAGGGGTAAAAATTTCAATTCACTTTTACGAAAAACCACTGTTAGAATTTTGATCCGTCTTCTTCATTAAAATCCTTATCTTGTTATCTTTCCAAAAAGTATTCATCAATTCATATCAATCCACAATATACCTTTGCCTCTCATCATAAGGGAAAATAAGTTTAATTCCTTCATTACATGTTTTATCTTTTAGTTTATTTCATTACCCTTATTTTTCCTTTGTCTTAATTTATTTATAATTCTATTAACCTTGTTTTTATTATCTTAACCTATTCTTATTTGTATTAAATTCAACAAATGAAAACCCTAATCCAAATACCTTGCCACCTTATACATTCATTTTCATCCTCTCGTTCTATGATCGAGTCTAGAGCTTTCTAGGTTTGATTCCTCAACGAAGGGAAATGATCATCATCTGTTGCCACTTATCTATTAATTGGTATACGACTCGAGATGATTCTTGGAGAGATTCAAGTTTTCTTGTTTGTCGCAACGGAGCCATTTGAGACAATATCATTGCTTTTAGGTTCTTTTTAATTTAATTCAGTTTGGTTTCATTTCCTTATTGTTAGTTTATTGTTTTTCATCAAAAAGAAAAAAAAGAAAAGAAAAATGCATAAAAAAGAAGAAAAAAATTAAAAAATCCAAAAAATCAAATAAATGAATTTGATACAGATTTTTTAAATGTATTTTCCTCAGACTAAGAGAAATCTCAAGTTCAAATTTAAGACAAATTGGACTTTATTTGATCTCTATGATCCTTAACGAATTTTCATAGAATTTTCTAGAATAAATTTTGTACTAATATTTTCTATATTGAAATTAGATTTATTGGATAACTCTAAAAAAAGTTCATAATTTTTTGATATAAAAAATACCTTCATAAGCGTTGCTCAAATTGATTTTGTGTTTGATTGGAAAATTTGGGGACTTGTCATTGATGAATTTTTTTCAGAATTTTCTAGAAATATTTCTTCTTAAATTTTCTATATTGTAACTACATTCATCGGAAGACATCCAAAAAAAGTTTCAAAATTTTTGGAGATCGTCAACCACCTCAAAAACATTCCTCAAGTCGATCGAGCCAATCAAGATTTTTTCCGGGTTTAGTTTTTCCAAATTTTTCTTTAACTCTTATTTCTTTATATTCTTTTATTTTATTTTTTTCTTGTTCCTCTACATCATCTAACATATTCTATTCCTTGTGTTAGTATGATTAAAGAGTTTGCATACTTATTCTTCCTTGCATTCTCGTTCTCTTAGAGTCATAACTTTCTTTGGCCTCTTAGAACCCTTAAGTAATGTTTTCTTCCTTTGCTAGTAATTGAACTCCGATACAAACACTGGAAAGATTTTTGGAGAAGAGAGTTTTAAAGAGTACAAGATCATCTTTCTTGCCTCTTGTTGTGTTACTTCTTTGGAGTGACTTATGAGGTTTCTTGTTTTCTTTTACTGTTCACTTTTATTTTTTTCTTTTGAGTGTTGTGATTTTAGGATGGGAGAAGAAACTACTTTGAACAATACCTTGACAACACTGTTGAATGTTTCAAATCAACATTCTCCCTTAATACAGGGAATTTAACAATGATTTGATGAATTTTTGGCTAATCTCTTCATGAGAAGAGAACAAAAAGCCAATGATCAATCAAGATTTCACGGGCTAGACCTTTTTGCTAAACCAAAGTTCACAATTCCACAATTTAAAGGAGATTACGATCCAGACAGCTACATAGATTAGGAGAGAAAAATTGATCGTATGTTCTCTCACTGCAATTGTCCCATGGAAAAACAAGTACCATTAATCACCTTATAATTCCAAGGTTATGCTATCACTTGGTGGAAGAAAACATGAAAGGCAATACAATGTTTCTGAATACCAAACATCATGTCTTCGACAAATCTTAAATGAGTATTGATAAAATGTTTTATCCAGACAGACTATATTCATGAAGTTATGCTACAACTTCGCCCACTTCGACAAGGCATGAGATCAATAGAAGACTACTATAAGGAAATGAGATCCTTAATGAATAGTGCAGACATACATGAAGTAGAAGGATATACGGTGAATAGATTTCTCACCGGCTTGCATCCAAACATCATTAATCTTCTTGACTTACATGGTTATGAAAGCCTTAAAGATACACTGAAGAAAGCAATGTTAATTGAATCACAACTTTAGAGGAAGTATTGTTTCACAGACACTTATCAAGGTACTTCACATATTTGGTAGGGTACTTCATATACTTACCAAGGTATTTCTTTTACTTATCAAGGTAATTCATATACTTCCACTTCTTCTTTTACTCTACCTTATACCATGGATACTAAATTGAATAATGACATCGATGAATACGATGCTATCAACATTGTAATATAGGGTAATTCATCTACTTCTACTTCTACTTCTACTTCTTCTTCCACTCCACCTTCTACCATGGGTACTGAACCGGATAATTACATCGATGAATACGATGCTATCAACATTGTAATAGAAGATAATTCATCTACTTCAACTTCTTCTTTTACTCCACCTTCTTCTGAGGATAATGAATCAAACAATGGCATCGATGAATATGATGCTAGTAGCATTGTAATACAAGATATCGATCTTCAGTCACTTAACCTTACACCATTGGAATCAAAAGATGTAATTGAAAGTCGTGTGATAAAATTTTGTGAGGAGGGTGGGAAACCACAAAAAGAAAAAAGACACTTAAAAGAGGAAAAACAAAAGATGTCACAACCCATAAAAGCCATAAACATGACCCACAGGAGGTGAGTGAACCTAATTGTGAGAAGAAAAGAGTGATTGAAAATACATATGTGAGCACAAAAGAATTGAGAGAGAACCTTCTTCACAAAAAGCCTAATATTTTTGTTCCCTTTAGGGAATCAACTAATTCAATTTCAAACATTAACAAAGATTTTCCTAGTGTGTTTATTTTTCTCTTACAGGATTTTCGATGAGTGTTAGGCAATCCACCTGATGAATTACCACTGAAAAGAGGAAAACAACACCAAACCAATCTAATTCAAGGTTCCATTACACCTCATCCTATAGACAATCGCAAAACTAGAGAGTTAGATTTACTCCAGGAAAGCCTTAGTGATTTAGGGGAAACCTACATTTGATTGTGGATCTAGGATATATTTGGGGTATTATCGGGCCTATTTTCGCAGTAGACTAGAATGAGAGACATGATTGGGCTTTCACCGACCTTGAGTGGTATTTTTTGTTTCTCTGATAACGCAGAGGTACTAGAAGTGGAGATGGAATCTCGAAGAACAAGATAAGAACTCGTGGTTAATTCTTTCGACCTCTTTCTTTACTTCTTACACTGTATTCTATTGAATCAATTAGAATTTGTGTGTGGCAGGCAGGTTCTCCAAGTGCCTATCGGTTCTGTAATTCATCTGAAATACCATCCATGGTTGAACATCCTTCTTCAACCCATTTGGATCCATGGGAATGAACTCCCTGGTTCACTTACTATTGACCATTCTCAAGTTGATCACCAATCTTCCTCCAACTCAAATATGGCTGAGAAAGTAATAATATTCTTTTTTTAATTGTCTAACATACATAAAATACAAAAAATAATAATATTTTTTGTTTTTCAAGAAAACAAGCAAATTCATAGATTCATCCAAGAGCTCCATGAAAATAAAATATAATTTTGTATTATGTTTACTTTATTATAAATAATGGAAGCATGTTTCCAAAGTTGCATGATTCATTCCTTTCTCATTATTTATTTAGTCACTCAATTTATTCTTTTCTTTGGATATAAAGTATATTAAGAGTCACTCGATTATGTTAAAAGAATTGTTTTGTTCATTAGACTTTTAGAAAATTATAAAATAATCATTAAATCTTATCAAACTGTTATAAATTAGTTATTAAATTTTATTGAATTACTATAAATAATCCCTAAAATTTACTAAATTTTAACAAAATAATCATTCAATTTATAATTTTTTTTATATTTTTTAATGTTGTAGTGATCATTTTATAATGATTTCGTAATTTTAATAACTATTTATAATTTTAAAAGTTTGATGACTAATATAATTAATTGAACATAGTTTAATGACCTATGATGTATTTTACCATTTCCTTCTATTTCGTTTTCATCAATTCTGTAATCATCACGCATGCGTAAAGTTAAGATATTCCCAAGAGTCAGTGTTGCATATTTATATACATTTTGATTTATGAATAAATTTATATCGTATTTATCACTTATTACATCATCTTTTAACTATCATTTCTAACGAGGATAGAGAGGCTGATGCATTTGTAGCATTCCGAATACGAAATAATCCAATATTTTGCAACGTGTACGGTGAATATTTAACTTATTTCACTTGAAGTTCACTATAAATACCGATCGAATTTTCTCCTTCGAGCTTGCCTTGTCTGTTGAATTCTTACAAATTTTCCTACTCTTTCCTTCACTTTCTTGGGAAAAAAATGTCTTCGGGGTGCAGTTGTGGTTCTGGCTGCAAATGCGGCGATAACTGCTCGTAAGTTTCTTTGCAATTCTTTTTCGTTAAAGATATTATTTTGAGTTAACGTAAATGAATTGAAGTTGAACGACACAAATCTTTGTTCGTGTTTATATAAATTTCAGATGCAGCAGGAATCTTAATCTAGGATACTCAGAGAAAACGACCAGTGCTGAGACCATCATCTCGGGAGTTGCGCCGGTGAAGATGTTAGTTTCAAACAAAATCTTAAGAGATTCAAAAATCTTATTACAAGCATTTGATTTTGATTGTTTCTTAATGATTTACCTATCACAGGAACTTCGAGGGATCGGAAATGAGCACTGAATCAGGACACGGATGCAAGTGCGGGTCGAACTGCACCTGTGATCCATGCAAATGTTAGCTGCTGAAGCCATAGATCAAAGCAGCACATAATAATTAAGGATTGGTGGAGGGTCATCTCATCAATTATGTCTATCTTTTTTTCTTGTCTGTCTTGTTTTATATAAGCTTATCGTGTAATATATATCATGATCTCTTGCAATTCCTTTGCCTGAGGAATTTTGCAGCTCTTTCATGATTGGTACGGTTTCATGATATGTTGTTAAATCGAATAAAATCGGCTGCTGCTTTATGTATCAAATCTTTGTCCTAAATCCATGGCCCTTCCATTAGTTTATGTTTTTTTCCCCTTTAATGCTTGACGTTTTGTTTACTGTTTAAATTGTTTATTTTAATTTCAAAGTATGTGTGTATTTATTCATATAAAAATTACTGTAATTAAATTTGGAATTTTGGAAGAAATATTAACCCGAGTATTTCTACATAATATCCTGATAATTGAATGGTATATATATATATATATATGTGTGTGTGTGGAAAATATGCATGGTAGGAACATTATAATTCAAAGGTGACAGATAGAAGAAAGAATTTGGAAGCAAATGAATGTATAGAGGAAATCAGTATCAGATTCTTAGATCAAATGAAAACACAGTAATAGCAGAATTAAGCCATGAATAATAGCATATAACATATGCAAGACGCCAGGTATTATTATCATTGAACATAAGTGGATCTCCCAACAAGTAAATGCAGTAAAATTTCTCGTCTCAAAACGAAATATACTTATCAAGTGGCAGAGGAAAAACTGGTAGCTATAATAAACTAAAAGGGCATATTATGACCATATATAAGTTTTGAGAATTTAAATTATTACTTTATCATTCAACATCACAATTTATGTTAAATTTTATATATGATTAAAATATAAGTAAAACACAAGATTGCTAATAATTTTATAAAGAAAGAACATTTAAATGACCAAAATAGAAATACAATAATAATTGAGTGACTAAAGAGAAAATTTTCTTAATTTTGAAGAAAACAAACAAATTCCTAAATCTATCCCAACTCTATAAGAGTAAAATATAGTTTTGAATTATGTTGTCATTATCATAATTAAAATTTTCAAATAAAATCAAATGAAACAAAGTATCCCTTGTTACTTCACCATATGCTTTAGTTTCGATATTCTCACAGTTAATCACAAAGTTTACGTTAAAATTTATGGTAAAATTATTTTACATAGGAAAATGACGTGTTCTTGCTTATTGGTTTGTCGTCCTAATCAATTGCAACCCCCAAAAAATAAAACAACATTTGAATTAGACAAAAGTATTTTTTTATTGTCCTTTTCTAAATGTTTTGTTTTGGTTAATTTGGATTGACTCGAATCGTACATCTAATTTTAATGGGTAAGTCTTCCAGTAAAGATTTTCTACTTAGACAAAGAATCGTACATCTAATTTTAGTGGCTGAGTCTTCCAGTAAGGATTTTCTACGTAGACAAGGACTCGAACTCGAAATATGCTTCAATAATATCAAGTTTATTTACCACTTGAATAAACCCGTTGATTAGATAACAAATATTTTTTATTGAATGGTAAAATAATTTTAGTTTGTTAATATTAAAACAAAATAATTAATTATTTATAAAGTATGAACTCAAGGGGAGGGAGAGACTGATGATGCACTTGTACAATTCACCCTTCCTCACTTGAATTCCACTATAAATACCGATCGACATTTTTCTCCAAACTCACCCTTGACTTTTGAGCTTGCTTCTGTGTATTGAATTCTTGAAATTTTTCTCTCTTTCCTTTACTTTCTCGAGAAAAATGTCTTCAGGGTGTAATTGCGGTTCTAGCTGCAGTTGCGGTGACAACTGTTCGTAAGTTAGCAATTCTTGCTTGTTGTTACACAGTACGAATTTCAGTGCAATAATTAAGATCGTAAATGAATCGAATTTGAACTATGTGAATCTTTGTTCGTGTTTAGATATAAAATTCTGGCCTTTTGATATTGCAGATGCAACAGGAACCTTAACCTGGGATTCTCAGAGAAGCCGATCAGTACTGAGACCATCATCTCCGGAGTTGCGCCAGTGACGATGTTAGTTTCAAACTAAAACTTCAAAAAATTTATTACATGCATATCAAATGTATGATTTTGATGTTTTATTAATGGTTTACTTATTTCAGGACCTTTGATGTATCGGAGATGAGCACTGAATCAGGACACGGATGCAAGTGTGGATCAAACTGCACTTGCGATCCATGCAACTGTTAACCGATTAAGCCATATATAAAAGTAGCAAACAAAGTCTGTAATAATTTTTAAGATTTTCAAGGATTGATCGAGGTCTATGATCATAAGTATTTCGTGTCTTGTCTTGTCTAATAGATAGAAGCTTGTCGTGTAATAATACAACCATGGTTTCTTGCAATTCCTTTCTCCAAGGATTTTGCAGTTGATTCATGGCTTTGTTTGATTTGATCTGTTGTTAAATCCTATATAAAATACTGGCTGTTGCTGCTTTTGTTTGTATTAAATCTTTGTTTGAAAAACTATATCCCCCTTTCGTTAATTTTCTCTCTTTTCTTATGGTTAATGTTTTGATTCCTTTGTTATACTATTCATCATATCAAAAAGTTGATAAAGCGCTACAATTAATCATTAAAAAGACGATTATGTGAAAAAGTAAAAGTGACGTAAAATTCAAAGATAAGTTCATAAAACGTGCTACAATTAATCATCGGATATAAAGTCCAACCAATGGCAGCAAAATAAGCATAGACAGATTCACATAAGTGCAAAGTTTCTAAGGTTCGAGTTGGAATATATTTACCTACACGAAACGAATGATATCTTACCGACTCAAAACGTACCAACTTCTCGTTAGTGAATTACAAGTAATCTTCCAGAGTCTCTTTGGCAGGGACAGCATATGAGGAACCACGTTGGTTGCGCTCGGGATTCTCATGGGCAGGCGGTGGACTTCCAGGGGCAACGAAATCACTCGGGTTAGAGGAAAAGGCCGGTAAAGCGTGCTGCCCGGGTTGTTGCCAAGAACTCGATGTCGTAGGAGATGGATTCGGGGGAAAGAAACCAGCGTCGATCTCCTCTGTAAAACCATAAACCGGATGGTACATTAGCAAAGGTTGAATCTAAATAAGAGTAGAATTTACCTCCAGTGCACTATCGGACGCTGCAGAAGTCATGGAACACGTCGGGAAACCCGACGGTCATGGATGAGATGAAGACGTACCTATAATCAGCATGGACTGGAACGACGGAGAAGGGGAGCACGGCGGTGACAGAAGGGGAGCAGTGCTCGGCCCGGGGCGTAATGAAGTGGTGGGTGCAAACGCCGAGTGATACAGTGAAGATAGAGCATTTGGTGCGTGGGCCAGGCCTCGCATCGGGCGAACAGGATGTGGCGGTGGAACGAATTCGGAGTCGCTTGGTATGGCGAAAAAAGACGGCGCATTGAGGCAGCGACGTCCCCCAAGGACGTTTTTGGAGGGACGTAATCGGTTTGGAGAAGAGGAAAGAGAGTTTGTTTTTAATTTGGTTCTGCCGTGTATGGGGGAATAAAGGGGAGTTTAAAATTAAAAAGGTGAAGTGATAGAGAAAGGGGTGGGGTCCACGGTCAAAGAAAAAGAGGAGATAGGATGGCAAAATATCTCACAAAAAAGGGGGAAAATATGATTTTGGCTTTCCTAACGTGCGTTGGTCTCCATAGAGGTGTGCTAACATGCGTTGTTTTTAATGGAACAGTGCGCACGGTCTTGAACGAATTCTGCCAGAGTTTCGCACGATTTTTTTACTGCTTCTTGAGTCTGATTTTCACACTGTTCGAATATAATTTGCGCGAACCTTCATCGTTTAACCTTGTAAAAACATTTGGTTCCTGAAAAAAATAAAAATAATTAAATTAGATTTAGTTAACCGAAAAAAAATGAAACAGAATTAAAAACAATGGGTTGCCTCCCATGAAGCGCTTTTGTTTAACGTCGTTAGCTCGAGGATCTGATTCAAACTACAGGTTCTTCTAAGTCGAGATCTTCAATTAAGCAAGCTTGGCTATTCACATAATACGGATTTCTTCAAGTTCCTGTATGAGTAACTTCCGTGCTTTGCCAACCGCCTCTAATTCCATATTGCATTGCTTTACAACCCAATATGTCTTATATTCCAGATCGGCTGGCAAATGACATGGCTTATCGTACAAGGCGATATGGCATCAAGCCGATAGGTTCTTTATATGCAGTTCGATAAGCCCATAAAGTATCAATTAACTTCAAGCTCCAATCCTTGCGATTTGGCTTGACTATCTTTTCAAGAATTATATTCACTTCACGGTTTGATATTTCTGCTTGTCCGTTCATTTGCGGGTGATAAGAAGTGGCAATTATGTGATTTACTCCATGCTTTTGCATAATAGCATCAATTACCCAAATGAAGAAGTGTGTGCCGCAGTCGCTTATTATCGCTCTCGATGTGCCAAACCTGGAAAAAATGCAATTCTTTAGAAACTGAACAGTAGTTTTGGCATCGTTGTTTCGAGTGGCCTTAGCTTCTACCCACTTCGAAACATAGTCAACTGCAAGAACTATATAACAATTGCCAAAGGAAGAAACAAAAGGACCCATATAATCGAGTCCCAAACATCAAATATTTCACATATATGAATAGAATTAAGGGGAATTTCGCTTCTTCGAGTCAAATTACCTGCACGTTGTCAATTATCACAGGATTTGCAAAATAAGTAAGCATCACTGAAAATATGAGGCCAAAAGAAACCACATTCTAGAATTTTATGAGCAATTCGATTTGGTCTAAAATGTCCACCACACGAATAAGAATGACAAAAATTTAAAATTGAACTTACCTCACTTTCAGCAACACATCGCCTAATTATCTGGTCTGAACAATGCTTCCAAAGATACGGATCATACCAAATGAAAAAAATGAGATTCACTTTTAATACAATTCACTTCGGCTCTCATCAAATCAGATGGTAATTTACCTGTAGCTAAGTAATTAACTATATTTGTGAACCAATGCATTGACTTCTGCGCCATCATCAAGCTTTCCTCCGGGAATTCTTCACGAATGGGAGGATCAACTGTAGTGATTAGAAGCCGACTTAAGTGATCAGCTACTAAATTCTCACATCCTTTCTTATCTTTGGTTTCCAAATTAAATTCTTGGAGGAGTAAGATCCAACGGATTAGCCGTGGTTTTGCCCCTTTTTTGCTAAGCAAATACTTCAAGGCTGCATGATAAGAGAAAACAACAACTTTAGTGCCAAGAAGATACGATCTAAATTTATCTAATGCAAAAATGATAGCGAATAATTCTTTTTCTATCGTTGAATAATTCCATTGTGCGGAATCTAAGGTGTGTGATGCATAGGCAATCACGTGAGGCTCTTTCCTGATCCTTTGTCCGAGTACGGCTCCAACACTTCCATCCGAAGCATCACACATGACTTCAAAGGGGAAGTCCCAATTTGGCGATTGCACAATGGGTGCCGAAACCAACTTCTCTTTTAAAACGTCAAATGATTCTTTGCATTGTTGATCGAAATTGAAGGTTTTATTTTTCTGTAACAACTCGCATAATGGTTGTGTCACCTTGGAAAAGTCTTAATGAACCTGTGGTAAAATCCTATATGACCAAGGAAAGAACGGATTTCCCTCACAGTAGTAGGGTATGGAAGTAAACGTATTATATCGATTTTCGCTTTGTCTACCGTAATTCCTTTAGAAGAAACAATATGGCCTAGAATTAAACCTTTATCAACCATTAAATGACACTTTTAATAAATTAAAACAAGGTTAAATTCTAGGCACCGACGCAACACATTTGTTAAGTTTAATAGACATTCATTAAATGAATTACCGTAAACAGTGAAGTCATCCATGAAGACTTCAATACCTTTCTCAATATAATCAGAAAAAATACTAATCATACACCTTTGGAATGTGGTAGGTGAATTGTAAATTCCGAAAGGCAATCATTGGTAAGAAAATGTACCAAAGAGGCATGTGAATGTTGTCTTTTCTAGATCTTCAGGTCCAACTATAATTTCGAAAAAACCTAAAATACATCAAGATAACAATAGTGAGTCTTACCAGCTAGTCTTTCTATCATTTGATCTATGAATGGAAGAGGAAAATGGTCATTTTGGGTTAATTAATTCAACTTTCTATAGTCGATGCAAACCCTCCATCCATTCTGAACTCGTGTTGGTAAAAATTCTCCCTTAGAATTTTCAATCACAGTAACTCCTATTTTTTAGGAACTACATGTATTGGAATTACCCATATACTATCCGATATTGGATATATAATATATGCATCAAGGAGTTTTTGTATCTCATTTTTTACCACTTCCATCATTGGTGGATTCAGTCGGCGTTGGCCTTCATGGGTTGGTTTTATGCCTTCTTCGGTTTTAATTTTGTGCATATATGTGGAGGGACTTAATCCTTTTAAGTCGAAGATGGTACATCCTATATCCTCCTTGTGTGCATGCAACACCGTTATTAAATCTTTTTATTCTTCTTCTTCGGACAATCCTTCTGATATGATCATTGTCAAATTGTTATTTGCTCAGAGAAAGGCGTACTTCAAGTGATCCGGCAACGGTTTCAGTTCAACTTTAGGTGCCTGCAAAACAGAAGGCAGAACCTTAGGCTTAGAAGAAATCAATTTTAATTTTGCATAATCTGAATATATTTCCATATCATGATCTCCTAACTCTATGTAATGCCCCAAATATTGGATAATGGACTTTATTGAAAAGATTTCAAATTTGGGGATTGATTTGAATAAATGCTAAAAGATGAGGAAATGATTTGGATTAGTGTTTTGAACTAAATTGTATAGAAAGATGAATAGAGAGGTCATTTTGGTCTTTTAAGGGGAAAATGAATTTAAAATTCATTTGTAATAAGATATTAAAGAAAAAGTGGGAAACGGGAAAAGAAATTACCAAAAGCCATCTTTCTCCTTTCTTCTTCTTCCCCGTGGAAATAACACTTCCCCATAGCAAAGGTGATATTTCAATTTGATGGTTTATCCTTTTATTTTTGGTTAGTTATTGAAGCCTTGAGCATGATAGAAGCTTAAAGAAGGATTAGATGAGATTAAAACTATGAGATAAGGGAAATAATGGAGATTATAGAAATGGGGTTTGAAATGATATGTTAATATGTGAGTGTTTATTGATGTTTACTGGTAGATTTGACTTGTAAAAGAAATAATTGAGAGATTAGAAGCATCTGATAGGATTAAGAACATATTAGAAAAAGTGGTGTGATTCGTAGTATTGAATGTTCTTGAAAGATTTTAGATGTTTTAAGAGGCTAAATAAAGAAATGTTAGTATGGATAGTTAAATAAGAGTTTAATAGCATTGTATGGTGTATATATAACGAAATTTAACCCCATTTGCGTGATAATCGGGTTGAAAA